ACTAATACAATCACTTGACATTATTAATTACACATTAACACCTTCACTTCCAAATGATTGTCCACTCACTTGGTATTACCTTTAGTTATTGAAATAATTATCCAAATAATGTATTACGATGAGTAACAACACCTTGATAATAATTACTTCTTTATTAAAAATTGGAAAGTCACGATACACAAAATGTACAGGATGGCTAATTAACCATCTAAGACTTTCTACTTGAACTGTTTCAAAAATAGAACTGGAACAGAACTGAAATTGGGTGAAACCAGCATCCCTTTTATACTAAATTTAGGTCAACCCTATGGAGGGGGTAGCAACTAGTGTCATGTAATGATTTATTGTACAAAGTTATTGAGATTGTTATTATATTATTAGATATACGTACATCGCCGACAGCAAAACACAGGACAAAGTTAATGCAAAAATTAGCAATTAGCACACTAATACACTAAATCGTACCTACCTACCAGTTGGGGCACATTCGTACGCGTTCAAACGTGCCCCATCTAGTTCTGTCCGTAAGTACCCCACTAACTAAATAACAACAAAATATAACCTTTTTTGATATTAATAGAAAAACCTCATTAATTAAATATTGAAAACGTATCTTAAGTATATTTTGCTACTTACTGATAGAATACTCTATATGAAAACTTATTATATCTACGGTAACAAAAGACAACAACATAGATCAAAAAATTACTTACCGAGCGCGAAAACACGTTCCTGTCTGTCACTTCACTCTCACCAGTGCGAATGGCGCGATACCACGTTGGCGTAAAGTTGGTACCTCGAATCACGCACACATACAAAAGCAAGAACGTACGTTGTTTCGTTTAAGGGGATTCAGTAGTACTCGCGCCGTAGAGTAAAAACATGCTTATCTATTCTGCATGAGTTTAATATTTGAAATAGAGATTTGAAATTTTGTAAGGAGATAAACAAAGCTTTGTTCTAGCGCCTGTCAGAGGCCTTTTTTTTAATTTTTCATTTCTATTGGAAATATACGTCCCTTAAAATGCATCAACTTTAAGCTCCTATAACAACTTTTAATGATCAAATTATTGAAAACCGCGTCTGCACCGAGGTAGTGTGAACCTTTGTCTGTTACCATACAAAAAATCACATATTTATCTCGCAGCGTTAAATCACAATCTGTAGAATACAAACCCATGTTTTACAAAAAATTAGAACAAAATGTAACCTAGGCACGAGCGGTCTATGCGGCCAGACGAGCAACTATAAGATAACTCCGCCCATCGATCGATCTAGCCGACTGATACATATATATATATATATAGGTACTGACTGTGTTACCTGCTCTAATAAGTATGTGTTAGGTACTTGGCACTTAATCGAGTTAGATCTATATCCGTAAATTTTCCGTGTCTTTGTAGTCATAAATAATGGGTAAACTGAAACCTAAAGTCGTTTATTACCGACNTAAGTGTAGTTCTCTGGATTGCCCTAACTAAACTTGGAATTTCATCGGGAGTTTCGCAGTTATTTTTTTCTGCTGCGATACATTCGTTCTTTAAGTTTTCTAAGCGTTTAAAGAAATCGGTAACTGACTCGTTTGAGTTTTGTTTGACTGTCTCTAACTCTTCGTGTAATTGGGTTAAATCTTTTACATGACTGTAATAAGATTTTAATTGACATTTTAAATCTGTCCAGTTACTGATTTCTTCCATATTTAATTCATTAACTACATCGCTGGATAGCTGGGCAGCAACGTAAAAGAACAATTGATTTACTTGGTTGGGTTGTGCCATCTGAAAGGCACTATTACAATTTTGAATAAATGTGCTAAGTTCTTTCCTGTTATCATTAAAAGGCCTAATAAATTTAAACAATAGAGATAGAGGTAGTGGCTCTAATTGGTATTCGTCCTCCGACTCGCCTTGGCCGGGGTCGTCTTTAACGCTTGGTAACGGTTTTCGATCTTTATTAGGTTCGCTCATGTTAAAGAAACTAGCGAGATCTGGATAAAGGCGAGGAATTTTTTACGGTAAAACGAGAACAACACTTACTTGGTTTAGTGATGATGGATGACGTTCCCGACTTCTGGAGTAGGTTGCGTCTTCAGAGTTGCTGGTTGTCCACTTGGGACTGCGTTCCCTTTACCTCTGGGGTGAGATGGGGCAGCGGATGGCCAAATCAACTTGTGGATGGTTGCCGCTTGTTCAGGATGATGGGTTCTTTTCGCAGCTAAGTGTTGAAACACAATCGCTATCACCGGACACCACTAGGATACCGCTGGGGACTATTCTTGTTCCGTGACGACGACTGACGAATCCCACTTCTGACACCAATTTTTATGTCGGATACCTGGCTGGAGGCAACGACAAAAAGTGATTGGTGATATATTTTTAATTGTTTCTGACACCAGGGNTAACAAACCAACATGATTCTCTGTCAAAGCTGTAGGAGGCCCGGTAGGCTTATGTGCCCAGGGCCTCCAATAGGTTAAAGACGGCCCTGGTCGCTGGTAATGTTTAGAAAACTGTTAAAAATGGTCAATATTTCAATTGTTAATAATCTTATTAATAGAAACGTTTTGTAGATAATATTGTGGGAATTATTAGCTCTTCTTAATACAAACAAATAAAAAAAAGCACAACTTGATCCGAGTCCTAGTTTACGAAATATTCTATTTTGCACTAAAATTTTTAATGTGAATTTTGTGTAGATTTAGCAAAAGATAAAGTAATTTTGTTTAGGGCTTTAATTTACGAAAATGATTTACACAATTACGTTCTTCAACTATCTAATGTCCTTAACAAAATTACCTTATCTTTTGCTGATTCTACAGAAAATTCACATTAACCAATCTAATGTTTTTTTGTGCAAAATAGAATATTTTGAAAACTTTGACTTGGATCAAGTTGTGTTTTTTTTATTTGTTTGAATAAAGAAGAGCTAATAATTCCCATAATATAATCTAAACAACATCACATATTAATAATGTGTTTAACAATTGAAATATTAACCATTTTTAACGGTTTTTATAAATTACTCAGCAACTATTGATTCAATTCTGAATCATTAAAATCTGTTTAGTAGCGAATTTTAACTGCTACAACTTCTACATTTAAATTTTTCTTGTAAAAATTATAGCTTCTTTGCTATTAACAGAAAACCTGGTTTCACGTGTTTTTAAATGCAATTTAGCAACGATTTCAACCCTAATTTTTGGATAATTCGCAGATATCCTTCATCTGCACACCTTTCACAAGACTTTTAGACTAGGAAAATCAAAAACTTGTTAAATAAAAGATTTTTTTGACTTACTTTTATTACGTAACTATTTTTAATTTTTCTTTTTACAAAATTATTTAAACACGGCAATTTTTTGTTTTTAATACTGTTTACTAAATAAACAAAGGAGAAAATCATTATATATGAATAATTTGTAATACTATTTAAAAAACTAATAAATAACTTACAATAATGACAATTTACCTATTTGAAAGTGTTCATTCAATTTCAAAAGATATGACGAGGCGAATGTTAAATTTTGTTCATTCATAATCAAGATTTTTTAAATTAATATTTCTAGTACCACTGAAATGAGTATGCTGTAAAAGGTCATTTCGTTCGTAAAATTATTCATTTGAACAATACCTATCTGGTATCGCTATCGCTAAAGTACTTTTTTTTAAGAAAATGTATGTCGTTAACATTGACGCATGCATGTTTACATGAGATCCTCTCTGTCAGAAAGCAAACGGAGAATGATATACGCATGTGTACTTATGATGGGATTGATAAAACTTGCGAAATAAAGCGACTAGTTACGAATAATTCCGACAATATCTCCACCTTCTTCTTCAGATTCCCCTTACCCTACGTACCCCTGAGAAACTTTCGTTGTGCTACTGAATGCCCTCAAGTTTTATTTGACTGTATGAATGTATCCCGCGTACGAAGGGTAACGATCTTCCCCTACTGTGGGACTACGTCTTATAAATTGTAGAAATACACACCTAGTCCTTGTTGGATATTGTCAAAAGGTATTTTTGGGCAGGCGGTTTCCTACTTTTTTTTACAACTCTTCCATAACCTCAAAATCATTAAATCGACTTACATAAAAATTAACAGGTGTCGTTTTGACCACAAACTGATATACTTTTTTATTATCACCTTTAATTATCATAATAGGTATTAATTGAAAACCCAACCACCAACTACGCTTCCTTCATAACCTCCTCAGACAGTTAATATAGGTTAAGTAATCCCTACCAAGTTCCGTCTCTGCCAGAGCAGGTGCAGAATGGAATGGCTGCGATCATTCACCTTCTGTTGAAACAGTTTGGAATGGACATTTAATTGTTGTAGTCAATAATATGTCTACTGTTATAATATAACAAGGTAATCATCTTCAACTATAGGAAGAAGCGTGGTGGCCTAACGGTATGTAGGTATTCTAATTATGATCAGCTGTTATTCCTAGGATCTATTCGCAATCGATGTTGCTTTTAAATTTGTCTTTTTTTATTAATTTGTTTGACGGATAGGTACGTTTAAGATCACAAGGTTACGGTGTGGAAGACAACACTCAGGAAGTTTGTTGCTATGAATCTCTTCTTTGATACTTCCGGTTCTTTATTCCGAAATTCGGGCATGTCTCAACAGAGGGCTCCTTCTTCTAGTCTCCATTCTCCATACTTAAAACCAATGTCAAAAGCAGAAATAATTTAAAATTTCCATAATCCATCTAATCCATAAAAGTTTCGAAGCGTTGGGTACAATTTTACTTGGTTAAATCATGTATAGTAATTGATTATTAATTTCTTATTTACTATTCATTAGATATACAGGAGTTACCAGTTATTCTTTTCAGGGGTACGTAAATTATGACATTTTTTTATTAAAATCTCTTCATTATTTAAGGGAATCTATATTCCCAGCAATCGTAATATTTTAATTAATGCTATAAAAACATATTTTATATAACATTTGCGATGATGTTAGTCAAGTAGTTATAATGCATCTTATCGTATACGTCATTTTTCCAGTAATAAATGTAATGGTATATAAAATGATAAAATTATTCAGGCCGGTGTAATATCTCATAATATTGTGTGCGTGTGATACCCACCTTCCTACCCACTGATCGTGAAAGCAATGACGTACAACGCGATTATGAATAGACGAAAATGCAGTGCTGAAGTGTATAAAATATTCAAAACATTCTTTTCTTCTACAAGTAACAAAGTCAGGTATGAGTATGTACATTACTTATTGACATGGATTTGATTAAAAATAGAAATGTATGTATTGTTTAAGACGCTAGCTTTTATATAAACTTTGTAATATCATTAGGAGGCAAAGCGCAGGAAAAGAAGTGTGTATTTATTTATTGATATCACTTTTAACATAAATAAAAATTGAGGTTATATAGAAATAGAGATGTATATGGAAGCAATTTTAATATAACAGGAATAGTATAAGTTATTATAAAATACATATTTATAATATCGATTTATTAAAATCTGGTGCCTATTACAATGAGAATAATTGAAGAAACTGGATTTTTCGTAATGTTATATAAAAAAAATAAATAATGCGACGAGTCAGGTTCTGCTAAACAAGAAAAATCTAGCCACCTATTTTAAATGGAATGTATATTTTTTATGTAATGTTTGCAATTAGTGAAGTATATTTCGAAACATATACTTATCGCGAAACTTAACAGTTCTTGAGATATTTCGAAAGTAAGATAAAAATCTTGTGAAATAGATAATAAAACCCTTTTTCACTGTCACTGATATCTATTCTTGTGAAATATTATTTGAATAAGCCTAAAGGATTAATTGGCTTTTTAATGTCATTATTTAGATATAACTGCAATTATTATTACTCTATTTCTTTGCTATTGGAAGTTTTGTTTTTAGTTTTATGCCAAATTAATTCCTAAAAAATTTCTGTTTGCTAGTTCTACATAGAGGTAATTATTATACCTACCTACCTCTGTATGAGTTACTACTGTATTATTGTAATACATAAGTATATAGTTATACCAGTTTAATAAAGAAGTGAATAAATAAATTAGATAAATAAGTTAAGTTTCCTCTTGACTAAAATGTTAATAGCTGTAACATCTCTTTTTAATAGAATGATACTCGGGATAATATTTAATGTTGAAAAACAATTAATTTGATCTTTAATTTTTTCGAAGTTATTCAATTTATTGGCGTAAAAAGCGAAACTGACATGAGCCAACCTAATTTTGGCAAATGAAAAATTGTCTTTTACATCTTTTCGTTCTTATTCAGTTGCTGACGGTTCGTTAATGATTGTTGATGCAATTTTATTGTTTATTGATAAATAATTAGGTTTTAGTTATTAACAATTGAGATGTTGAGAATAAGGTCATTTCATTTTAATTTATTTATTAATTTTGTTACATACAATCGGTAGGAAATTTGTTTTGTTTGTTGAGTCCATATGTAATGTATCTTATATTATCAATTTACTTTCACTTTGGGTACATTAATAATACAATCATGTTCTTCATTGCTGTAGTATAGGTAATACTAAATAAAGAGCTGATGTGGGTTGCCTACACTGAGGGTGCAGATAGACATGTAACAACCAGATAGGGAGTTAATAAAGGAATTCATGGCGATTGTTATTATTGTGTTTCCCTAAATGAAAGTAATTTATTAATTAAAGACACATTAAATGGCGCTGCGGTCATATAATTAAGTAGTAAACCGTAAAACTGTGTGAATAGTTTACAAAAATATGGCAGGTAATAGAGGAATTGCACCACTAAATATGAACGACAATGTGGCCGAGAACTGGCTATTATGGAGGGCACTCTTTGAAAATTATTTGGTAGCAAGTGAAGTAATAGAAAAGGACGAAGCCAAAGAATGCGTACAGCTACTTCATTGTATAGGAGAAGAAGCACAGACCTTTCGTTATTCAATCAATGAAAATTTTGCAACTTTCTGAGGAGCACTTCCTATCCAAGGAGAATATAAATTATCAGAGATATGAATTTTTTCATCAACAGCCAGGTGAAATCATTCAATGGAACAATTTATAACACATGTTAAATAAAAGCGTATCACGTGCAATTTGGTGGTGTTACAAACAGCCAAATAATGGAAAAGCTGCTACAGAAAAATGTGGAATCCTTAGAGAAAGTTATAGAAATCTGTCATGTAATGGACAAATCTAGGAAGCAATACCAAGTAATTGAAAACGCAGAAACAGTTGTTGAAGTCAACGCGCTGAAAAAACATCAGGGAGGTCACGCGGCAGGATGATAGCCAAACTAAGGGTATAAAAAATTGCAGAAAATGTGGTAAGTTACGTAGAATAAATGTCTGTCCAGCACATGGGAAAAAATGTTGGTATTTTTTTGCATTAGTTGACAGTTGAGTTGAGACATGAAATTTAGTCAGGTAGGTAATACTCGCCAAGTAGAATCGTGTGGTAGTATTTATTAGCGGTGTGTTCCGAAATATAACCCAGCATACTGGTCAGTGCTGATGATGTTATGAATCGGCGCCATGTTGTACTGGTGTGCCACCATGTTGTACTGATGAGACAAGTGTGATGTAGTAGTATATCAAGCGGATGTGTGTGTATCTGACTTTGAGGAATTTTTTGTTGCAAGAAACTTTAATAACTTTTGAAGCAAAAGTGTTGTAAAGGAGCACAAGCTCTATTCTTAATATGGCGTCAATTTGACGTCAAAGCACTGGCCAGTACATTTCGGAACGAATCAACAGTATGGCGTCGATTCATGACGTCATCAGCACTGGCCACTATGTTGGGTTATATTTCGGAACAAAATTTTGTTTATACGGCCTTGGCTTCAGCCTTGCGTCACCTGTTCCCGCCAAACTTCCACTGTGTCATTCGCGGTAAAGAATTCGTCACTATGCTTCATGATTATTTCCGCGTCCAACATATATATATGAAAATTATCTCCGTAATCATCATACTAAAACTTCAACGTGATTGTGTTTGTCCAAACAAAGATAACCTCGTGACATTATTCCAACATATCGCCTGCCTCCTGCGGACAGGGCCATTACGGAAACTCGAGTCTGTCGTAAATCTACGTAACTAAACAATGACGTCATTAATGTATATTTGGCGAGAGCTGATGAAGGGCTGTAGCTAGGGCCGTACCAACCGGGATTTCCTCCGATTAAGAAAACTTTAAGGCCTTCTATGTCAAGCCACATTGGTTTTCGTATGAAATTAATACTATCACACGATTCCATTTGGTGAGTACTATATAAGAACAAAGGCTTTCACGGCCGGAATCCATAGTAGAATGAAGATTCGGGCTATAGGGCCGTAGTCTAAGTGAACTATTCTGTCCGGACGTTTCGTCAGCTACTGCGGCTGACATCCTCAGTGGTAGTGCTGCGTTAACAACGTGAACGTAGATTATATCTCGAAGTCTCGACAGCGACTTAGCTTCATTCTACTTTGGTGAGTACTACTTACCTGACTTCATGTCTCAACTCGTCTGTCAACTAATGTAAAAATTTACCAAAATGTTCATGTGCCCGAAAGAAAGTCATTTTTCTTAGATGTGTTGGAAAAAAAAATAAATGAAGTGAACCGAAAATTATAAATACAATAGAAGGGTTAGAAAACAAACACGAATTTCTGATTGTAGGTAGCGTTAATAAGATAAAAAACGATAATTTATCGAATCGGTGGCACACACACTTAATAATATAAATATTAAATTCAAAATTGACAAGGGTGTTATAGTTAATTTATTAACTTTTNATTTGAATATATAACATTTTTGGCGACGAGGATGGGATTGTGCGGCGAAAACCATCAGTAAAATTTACGTGCGTTTCCTCTACTGAGTGGATTATTCGTTCTGCCGATCACGAAGAAAATCTGGATAGCTTTTCCAGGCCCACAATTGGAAAAATCTTCAATCAGCGCCTTGCCTTCCATCTACCTCACCTGCAGTACCTGAGTCATATACAGGGCAAATGATAATATACGAGGTACCTAAAGTAATTTCATATGTCAATTTAATGATAAATTCTATACCACCGAATTCTATGTAGTAGATTCAGAAACAGAATGTATATTAGGTAAAACCAGTTGTGATTTAAATCTAGTAAAAAATTGATTCTGTTAATCATAACATAAGTAATACTGATTATGAACTAACCAAATATACCGAGAGGTATTCTCGGGTATAGGGTGTATTAAAAATACAACCAGTAAGATAGGTTGCCTTACCTTTAAAGGACAAATTAAAAGAAAGCATTGAGGAATTGTAAAAAATGAAAATAGTAAAATAACCAAATGCAAAGTTGTGTATATGATTAGACTCAAAATAGTTAAACGAAATAATTGAAAGGGAATATTGCTAAATTCTCATTACGGATGAAATAGTGATCTAACAAGGGCAATCATGTTCAGAGCTTTAGACACTAATAATGGGTATTATCAGATAGTGGTAGATGAAAAAAGCGCTAACATCTGTACGTTTGGAACACTTATTGATAGATACAAATTTTTAAGACTACGTTATTATATAAAATCAGCGCCGGAGGTTTTCCTAGACAGGTTCAGAAGATTGTTTGCAGGATAAGGGACAGCGGTATATATTTTGATGATATTTTAATTTGTCGTCTGAAAGGAGTTCTGGAAATAATAAAAGATAAGGGTGTTAAGTATATAATAAGTAAATGTCGGTTTGGCTTAAGTAACGTAGAGTATATGGGTCACATGATATCTAAGGTAAGAATTTCACTAAGTCTTTCAAAAATACAGGAAATTCCTACACCACAAAATAAAAATGATATGCGGAGAATGTTGAGAGGAATATTAAAAAATGATAACGAATTTAGTTGGAATGAATATCTAGTAAAATCTTTTCAAAAATTAAAAGATACCTTAGCAATAGAACCAGTTTTACAGTTTTATAACGTAACACAAGAAACTGTAATTTGAATTGATGCTTCTAAATTGGGTCTGGTAGCCGTACGTACTCTTACAAAATAAATTGCCGTGCGCATATGCGTCAAAAACAATGACAGATACTCAAATGCGCTCGACACAAATTGAAATAGAATTAGTAACAATTTGCTATGGTTTAGAACGCTTTTAACAGTTTAGAGTGATTGTGAAAATAGACCATCAACCATTAATTCCGTATTCAAAAAAACTTTGAATAAATGCTCTGCCAGAATTCAGAGAATGTTATTGCAAATTC